TAGGCATGAGTGTTCCTTTAAGTGATGATATATTGAGCTATATTCAGACAAATGAAATGTAAGCCTTTTAGTTAGCATTGTCGTAGTAAAGGCAACGTACATATTGACAGTTTTGTCAGAGATAGAATCTCCTATATGAGTATAGCAACAAAGTCTTTAAATGCTTATGAAAAGAAATTACATAAGTGTGAGCCAAAACAATAAAGTTACTTCCCTTATACTGGAAAAAAAACCCAAAAGAACTTTAAACTTTCAAATCTAGAACACTTCATAAGCAGTAACAAAACGAACAGTTGAATTGTTTCTGTTGTAGCCTAGAAAAATCTTACTGAATGGGGAATAACCAAAACGGGGGTTGGAAATGAAATGGTAATCTTTATAACATCAACAAAATACACTACTCGCCAGCGGCGTGAAGTAGGTAAACCACTGCTAGTGATGAAATACTAAGACAGCATATTACTCCATAGTGTCCAACATATTTATGAGGATTGGGACATACTCATTAGTGTTCATAGGTACGGTATATAGCAGAAACATTTAAAAAATAATTAATTTCTGAGTAAGTCCTAAAAACATTAATCATTGATATTTTTTTAAAGAAATGTCCACATATATTTTTTATTTATAAAAGCAATTAAAAGCTTTTCAAATTAAATAATGTCTTAGTTTTATTGCATTTTTTTGCTTTATGATCCAGAATATTTTCTCTAACTGGGGGGCTTCTGTTTGGCCAAAAAAATTGATGATTTAAATTCTTTAAGGGCTTATCTTTATAACAAATATAAACATGAAGCAATACAAAAAAAAGAATTTGCAAAATTTCATTAAATTTAATGAGTTGGAAGGGGAGTAACAGATGTTAAAAAAAAAATTATCAATTTTTTTTTTAAAAAGAAAGAAACTGTTGTAACCTAGAAAGGGTTACTGAATGAGGAATAACCAAAACAGAGGTTGGAAATGAAATGGTAATCTTTATAACATCAACAAAATACAATACTCGCCAGCGGCGCGAAGTAGGTAAACCACTGCCTGTGGTGGGCTACTTATAGAGCATATTACACCTACTTACAATAGTGTCCAACGTATTTATGAGGATTGTGACATACTCATCAGTGTCCATATGTACTGTATATAAGAGATTTAAATTCACAGAAACACATATACATACTCACAGACAACTTAACCACCTGATAATGATGAGATTGAAAGTACTTGGGAAAATAAAAACTGTTCGAAAGAAAAATGTGTTATTTTTCTCACTCATTTTTCTAAATCTATCAAAAATTAATCCGTGAACATGAAATGATCACAACGAAAACTGACATATCTAAATTATTTAACCTAACCTGTTTGAATATATATATATATATATATATATATATATATATATATATATATATATATATATATATATATATATATATATATGGTGATGTTCGTTACTGATCGTGAAACCTGGGTTCGAATCTCACTAGGAAGGAGACTTACTGGTTTTATCGGATTGGATCGAGATCGATCCCAGCGTGCGAAACTGAAAAAACGTACCACGGGTTAAACAAGCGCTGTGAGTGAAATTGGGTAGACGGAACACTTGGGATCCGTCGATAGCTGTCTTTAGCATGAAGATACAAGTCAACGTGGCCGAGAGCTTGAGCGTGCTGGCTTTGTTCAAATTGGTGATCACGCTAGATAACTCGCTCTCTTCAGGAAACTGTAACTAAGTTCTGCTCAGTATAGTTGCAGTGTAAACTACAGGCAGGCTCTGTGGTTGTTGAACAAACACAAATGTGCCTGAGCGAGCGTCTGCACAAGGGATTGGCTAGACGGCTGTCCTCGAATACAGTGGCCATATATATATATATATATATATATATATATATATATATATATATATATATATAATATTTATACATACATATATATATATACATAAATATTTATTCATATTTTCCTTTGACATAGTATCTAGTTATATCTGAAGATTTTTATATATATATATATATATATATATATATATATACATATATATGAAGAAATATAGTCTTAAGGTCTGCTATATTTACGGGATAAAGTGCTCGATATCAGAGATAGAGCGTGTGTAAATATAAAAGTGAACATAGAAATCAACACTTAGAGGCGACAGTCTGTTTCATGCTATATGCAATCGTCAGGCCACGTAGCCTGACGATTGCATATAGCATGACGATTGCATATAGCATGAAACAGACTGTCGCCTCTAAGTGTTGACTTCTATGTTCACTTTTATATATATATATATATATATATATATTATTACATTTTATTCATATTATTACATATTATTGCATTTATTATGCATTATTATTATTATAATTATTATTATTATATACATTTATTATAGAATATTACATTTATTATTACATATTATTAATACATATTATTATATATTATATATGGGCCCTTCTCTCTGAACAGTGTAGGCAGATACAGTAAGAAGGGTCCAAGCGTTTGTGAATAAATACAGGTGAAATCTCCTTGGCATTTTCTATTGGGAAAAAATAACAATGAGTTTGTGCGGGAAAAGGGTTGACATTTTTGTGGGACACCATCAACCACTTCTCGGCAATGTCAAACGGAGAAAAATGGCGTGGGTTGGTCACATTACAAGGCATGACAGCCTGTGTAAGACCATCATGCAAGGAGCCGTTAAAAGTGGACGTAGGAGAGAACGCCAACGCAAAATCTGGTTGGACAAAAAATGGACAGGTATGACTGTACCAGAATTGCTGATGGCTGCTATTGATAGACCGTTGTGGAAAAGAGTTAGTATGGCTTCTGTATTTGAATCCGCCCTGCCATTACAGAAGGGGATGATGAGGACGATGATATATATATATATATATATATATATATATATATATATATATGTGTGTGTGTGTGTGTGTGTGTGTGTGTGTGTATTAATACTCATTAGCTAATTATTATTGAACTTCGTCCTGAAAGCTTCTTAAGATGAAACCGTATATATATGCAATCAGTCTCTGGATAGAAAGTGACAGATACTGGGTCTGGTTGTATGTATGCAATTAAATCTTGATTGGTTTGCAGGACTGACATGAATTATTCTTAGCCAATGACTATTAAAGAAAGAGATCTTATCGCAACATGCGTCGCAGTTTAAAGCTCTGACACAGGCCGTGCAATGATTTGAGGCTTATTACGTCATAACATGGTTGCGATTCTATCAGAATATTTAGTATTCATTTTTCATTTTATCAAGCGTGGTCGTAATTTAAGATTTAAAAAAGATTCCATTGCTAAAAAGTCCGAGAAATTTTCACAGAAATTATTCGTCTTCCGACAGGAATCGAACCTGCATCCTACACGGAACCGTCATTTAGCTTGACGTGCTTTTACCGATATGGCTACAGACGAGCGTTCGGTTAGCAAGGTCGAATTTACTGTCTTTAAATTTCAATCGTCCATGAATCTCTCACGTACATTCATATCTGCTCAAAGCGCATCCAAATGTAACCAAATGACGTCACATATTATGAAATGTCTTAAAATAGGTATATATGTATATACGGGAAAGATATATATACATTTTTATATCCCACAACAGTGACAAAGTGGAAGATTTTCTACATCTTAAAATGTATTGTTAGTAATTTTACTATAAAAATGTACAGCTAATTTTTTTTGCAGGAGTTTCACTGTCTGCAAATCGCTGGGACCCTATCAGGTGCGGGTGGAATGGGAACAACAGCTGATCAGAAGCCTTGTTGCTGGGTGTAATTTATCGTCATACTCACCGAAGTTAAGCAATGCCAAGCCTGATCAGTACCTAGACGGGTGACCACTTCGGATTACCAAGTGTTGTAAGCTTAGATACGTGAGTGGTAGAATGGATTAGAATTGTTAATCGGAAGGTCGAGTTTCGAATCCTGTTGGTTTCACTCTATTTATGTACAAGCAAATCACTTTGGGAAAGGTATTAATTCGCTTCTTCTCCCCCAACTATGGGTTAATTAGTAAGATCTGCATCACTAAACAGTTTTATCTCCCCATCCCTAAATTCTTAAAATGTCAAAATATTTTCTGGCTTTAAATAACCCACAAAGGGTTGATAAACCATAGAAAAGGAATCAATCAGTTAATCAAGTATATATATATATATATATATATATATATATATATATATATGTCATTTATTTGATATATATATATATATATTAAATAAATGACTCATCATAGGTACATATGACGAATTCCATTGATTTTTTTTATAAGTGTTTCACTCAAGCAAGGCGGGAAGCCACTGGCACGCAAGGGGTTACAGAGAGTTGGAGCGAGAGCAAATAGGAGTGATAGAGGAAAGGATGAAAAAAAGGATAGGGGATAGATCAAGGCGTCTGGATACGTCGATTGGCATTACATTTGAATAGTTGGAGATTATAGCTATCAGGGAAACAGTAAGAGGGGAGAGAGTTCCACAGGTGAGAAGTGCGAGACATGAAGCTATTGGAGTAGAAGAGACGGCTACATTTAACAGTTTCGATAGTGAAAGGGTGAGAGCGAGATGCCAGCCTAGTAGAACGCTTAAATTCATGAAGTCTGGGAAGCAGAGAAAGCAGCTCATCGGAACAGTTACCGTGAAAGTATTTGTAAAAAAGACAGTGGGAGGTGACGGCACGTCTGTGAGAGAGCGACGGCAGACGAGATGCCAGATCAAGGCCATTTACTAGCAAAACAGCAAAAGAGTACTAATTTGAAGAAGTTTTGAAGACAGACATTTTCTAAGAGTTAATGTCATCCAACATAACAGCGTATTAGCTGAGTAAATGTCCATACGTGTGTGCGCGCGCGCGCTCGAATATTACACAATCGCTAATCAGATGATCTAAAAAGTAATTCCTCGGAAGGACGCCATCTGGAGGCCGAATGAAAATGGTTGTTCAAGCATAGAATGACTTACGTTAATTCTTCTTCCCGCCATTTTTTTATGTATCTTTGAGTCTTCGTTCCACTTCCTCTTGTCGCGAGACTTACTTTTTTCTTTCTTTTTCTGTCTGCTGTTTCTTAGTCAACCTATCCCACTCTCTCCTTCTCTTTCTCCTCTCTCTCTTATACTTTCTTTCTCTCTCTCATTCACTAACTCACTCTAGCTATCTCTTTCATTTTCCTTCGATTTCTCCTTCGCACTCTTTATCTTTCTCTCTCTCTCTCACTCTCTCTCTTTCATTCACTTACTCTATCTCTCTCACTTTTCTTCGATTTCGCCCTCACTCTCTTTATCTTTCTCTCTCTCTCTTTCTCTCTCTCTTTCTCTCTCTCTCTCTTTTTCTCTTTCCTTCACTACTTTTTGTGACGTTTGTCATTCCATACACCCCTCTCTCTATGTCTCTGTTTTCCTTCGATGCATCATCCTCTCTGTCTCTCTCTCTCTCTCTCTCTCTCTCTCTCTCTCTCTCTCTCTCTCTCATTCACTCTCTGTGTTTTTTTTATCTCTTCTCTTTCCTTCGATTCGTCGTTCTTTTTCTGTTTCTGTCTTCTTTTTGCTTTACACTTTCTTTATATTCCTCTCTGACAAAGAAAGAAGGTGTGTGTATGTTTGACGTTTGCTTTCTCCTCATCCTTCTACCCCCTCTCTCTATCACTATCTATCTATCTATCTATCTATATATATATATATATATATATATATATATATCTATGTGTGATTTTGGGACCTTTTTCTTTCTATTCATAATTCTATCTCCCCTTTCTCTACAATCTACTTCCCTTTCTCTTTTTCTCTTTGTGATTCTGACACCTTCTTACGTCTATTCATACTTCTCTCTCTCCCTCCCTCTCTTTCTGTTTTCCACTTGTATCCTTCTCTCGTTTTCACTCTCCGGTCTGTTTATACTTTTTCTCTCCCACTCTCTCTCTCTCTCCCACTCTCTCTCTCTCTCTCTCTCTCTGTCTTTTTTTCTTTCTGCCCCACTCTTTCTCTCACGTTCTGTCAATTGAACATCGAACAGTCGTTCAGGTTTGGCTTAAATCCTTTTCATAATCTTCTTCAATTTCTATCTTATCTTCAACACGAAAGCCAACCATTGCTGCTCCGAGAGCTGATGATAGACTTAATACAATCTCAACGATATATATATATATATGTGTGTGTGTGTGTGTGTGTGTGTGTGTGTGTGTGTGTGTGTGCACGGGCGTGCATGTATGTTAGTATATGAGCGTGGGCTTGTCAGTATCAATGATTTATATGCATTTGTGTGCAATACACTCACGGACAAATATCTTCACATACGCATATACATCAATATGTCCGTGTAAGTCGGGTTGATAGCTTTCTGTGTCCATTTGAGATGAATATCTACATATATATATATATATATATATATATATATATATATATATATATATATATATATATATAGATATTCATCTATATATATATATATGTGTGTGTGCGTGTGCGTGTGTGTGCGCGCATGTATGATATATGTGCGTGGGCTTCTCCGTATCTATAATTTATATGCATTTGTGTGCAATACACTCACGAACAAATATCTTCACATACGCATATACATCAATATGTCCGTGTAAGTCGGAGTTGATAGCTTTCTGTGTCCATTTGAGATGAATATCACATATTCATCTATATATATATATATATATATATATATATATATATATATATGTATCTATGTATATATGTAGATATATATATATATATATATATATATATATATATATCTGTGTATATATTGTATATATATATATATATATATATATATATATATATATATATACTTATCATATATGTATATGTATATTTACCTGTTTTGTTTATATGAACTTTATTTTAGCCTTTTTGTTAGTTTTTGTCGTCGTTCTCTTTTTCTTTGCATTTTTATTTTTGTTTGATTGATAATCGATTCTAATCGATCGCATATAAAGACCAGCTTGCCAATTAATGACGCTCGTGAGTATCAACGTGCGTCAAAATGGCTTTGCAGCGTTTCGTTTTGGGAGAGGTAGGGTCGAAAGGAGGGAGAGAAAGGATAGCAGGGGGCGGGGGGTGTAAATGGGGAGAAGTCTAGAACTGCACAGGACGGATGTTGGTCTAGATCAATGAAGATGGCGGTGGAGGAATCTCAACCATTGGTGTCATCTACATTCGCATTTCTTTTCGCCGTTCAATTATTAATCATCTTCTTTCACTTTCACTTTCACTTTCACTTTTGCAGTTTCTTTAATTTATATTTATTTTTTTCTCTTCTTTCTACACTTCTTCTTTGTTTTGTATTCAAGAACTTTAATTCCTTTTTCTTTTATTTCTTTTTTCTTCTTTCTTCTTTCTTTTGAGTTTATATTTTCTTTGTTTCTGTCTTTTCTTTCATTCTTTAGTTTTTCTTTTCTTTCTTTTTCTTCTTTCTTTTTATCGTTTCTTTTTTAATTTCTTTCTCTTCTTTCTACTCTTTTTCTTTGTTTTATATTCCAGGACTTAAATTATTTTTTCTTTCTCTTCTTTTTCTTTTTTCTTCTTTCTTTTGACTTTATATTTTTGTTTCTGTCTTTTATTTCATTCTTTAGTTTTCTTTTCTTTCTTTTATTTTCTTTTTTATGTTTTATTGCTTAGTTTCTTTTTCCTCTTTCCACACGTTTTCTTTGTTTTGCATTTTTCAATTTTTTCTTCTTTGTTCTTCCTCTGCCTTTATATTTTCCTTATCTCTTTTCTTTCATTCTTTTTTTTCTTTTCTTTCTTTTTCTTGATTTTTATCCTATCTTTCTTAATATCTTTTTCTTCTTAATTTCTTTCTAAACTATTCCCTTCTCTATTTTTGTTCGTTAATTCATTCACTTCTTCTTTCATTTTCTTTTACTGATTTTTTTTTAATTTTGGATTTTCTTTATTTATTCCTTTTATTCTTTTTCTTTTTTGTTTTTGGTTTCCTTTTTTTCTTTCTTTTCTTTTTTCTTTTTTTCTTTCTTTTCATCCTTTTCGTTTGGTTTCATTATTTCTTTAGTTGAATAAACTTTTTTCTCTACCATTTCCAATTTTTGCTTGTAAGAAATGTAAAATGGCGGGAAAGAAAGAAAGAAAAGACCATTCTATAATTTCTCGTTTTTTTTTCTTTAGTTTTGCAATTTTTTCGTGTCTATAGTCCTTTTGTTTTTTCATCTTTAATGTTTTCATCAGTCTTTCTAGTTTTCTTGTTTTATTCTTTCTTTTTAATTAATTCGTTGCATCTCTGTTTATTTTTCATTCATAGATATTCTCTTTTACTTTTACTTTCTTTGCCGTTTAAGATTGACCTGTGTTCCATTTCTCTTTTGTAATCAATGTTTTCCTTCTTCATCTTTTTCACACTCTTATTCACGCTTTTCTGATATATATATAAATATATATATATATATATATAATTATTCCTCCTTTCCTCTATACAATTCTTAGACATTTTTCTTGGTTTCTTTCTTTTTACTTCCTCTTGTCTTTTCTTCCGCCTTCCCTGCCCCCCCACTGGTTTCTTCCCCACCCCATTGCCTCCGCTATCCAAGCGATTATTCCCCTGTCATGGTTGCAACAGAGACAGTCTCATTTGCAGCTGTGACACTGCAGGTCGTCGAGAAGATATAGAGTTTCATGTTTCCACAACAAGAGTGAACTTTCTCTCTCCAGACATATACAGCCAAATTGGCGTTGGGAAAAGCCTTTACAACTGTTTAACGTATTGATTTTCCTTCGACTACTTCGGTCAGTACCTTGCAGATAAGGAAATAGAAAAAGAGAACCCTATCGATAAATGAATTCGCCAAGCCCCCCACCCCAAGGACTTAGACTTTTAAGATTTTAAGGTTTCCACTATTCTAACTGGTATGTTCTAAAATATGTTAACATCCCTCTTTTGGGAATCGCGACATGTCTTCATATTTTTCTCTGCAAACTGCTGGGAATAATAGCCGCTCCCCAGCCATGTTATTTAACCTCTGGTAAATACCGTATTTTTCTAATTTAGCTACAGATATGTTAGAGAAAAAGATGTTGTCTCAGGATATGTTAAAATCATTTGTAATTTTTAGAATAAGATGATATTTTTTCTGAAGTGGGTTTTTTTTTATGTTAAATTTAAATCCTTAACAGAAAAAGCGAATGTTTATACCTAAGCCAGAAAATAGTCCATGCTGATTGACCAACATCATTCCTAATTTTGAAGCCTGGGATAAAGACGTCTCATTGGGTTTCATATATCTTGGCCGGGTCGTCTGGGGATACCTGCTTGTATTCTGAGCTAATAATTCCATAAGTTTCATTTTCTACGATGCAGGTGGTTTAAGGGGTAGCGACTCGGAATCAGAACGCGGAAAGCCGAGTTTTTATTCCAGTCGGGTTCGTTGCATTTACTTACGTGTAAATATCCTCGGGGAAAGTATGTAACTATCTCTTCCCTCCAGCTCTGGATTAAATAGTAATACTTGTATCTGGAAAAAAAATACTATTCTTCTCAAACAAAAAATTGTTAATACGATATTCAATCACTAGAAATAATTTTTCTCACAATCTAAAACATGTTTCGCTCTTGAATAACGCAAAAAGGGTTGATAAGCTGTAAAAAATAAATCAAATCTGAAACATTTGGTGAATATACTCTGATTTTATGGTAAAAAAAATACTGGTCACGAAATTGTTATACAGTGTTCCCAGTCAAAAAAAAAAAATACGATAAATTCAAAATGACATGATATGAGACAACCGTTGAAAACTGGTGACGACTGAAAAATTCAGGAAGAAATTCTGCACAATTTAGTCAATCTCCACGTCGGATGTTCTTCGTTGAAAAGTACGATAACTTTACACTTAAAATCAATGAGTTGTTTAGCCATATGAAAAAGGCTGAACGACAGACAAAAGTCGTCTGCTAATAACCTTTAAATGACGAGTCATAAGATCGAGTAGCAATTAATCAATCATAAAAGAACCAATCAGATTTACGTAATTACGCAAGAGTCGAATGATTATTCAAGATCATGAATTACGTACAATGCGTATTCAAGGTCATGAATTACGCGAACGTAGAATGATTATTCACAGTAATGAATTATGTAGAATGATTATTCAAGGTCATGAATTACGCGAACGTAGAATGATTATTCACAGTAATGAATTATGTAGAATGATTATTCAAGGTCATGAATTACGCGAACGTAGAATGATTATTCACAGTAATGAATTATGTAGAATGATTATTCAAGGTCATGAATTACGCGAACATAGAATGATTATTCAAGGTCATGAATTATGTAGAATAATTATTCAAGGTCAAGAATTACGCGAACGTAGAATGATTATTCAATGTCATGAATTTCGTCGAATGATTATTCAAGGACATGAATTACGTAGAATAATTATTCAAGGTCAAGAATTACGCGAACGTAGAATGATTATTCAATGTCATGAATTTCGTAGAATGATTATTCAAGGTCATGGATTACGTAGAATGATTATTCAAGGTCAAGAATTACGCAAACGTAGAATGATTATTCAAGGTCATGAATTATGTAGAATAATTATTCAAGGTCAAGAATTACGCGAACGTAGAATGATTATTCAAGGTCATGGATGTTGAAGAAATTTATTCAAGGATATTCAAGGTCAATTATTCCTCAAAAATAAAACAGTGATAATAAATTTGCCGCTTTTTACTGCCCACCCTGCAGGAATGATTGGTGTTATTCGGATCTTTTGTGTTGTTTTCAGCCACGGTGCTATTCACGTATTTCTACGTCGTGTTCTTGATATCTGTCTTACTGTTTTCTTCAGCCTATTCACTTGTATTAACCAATGTATTTGTATAACAAGCTATATATTATTCTATGTATTAACAAGGTATTTATATTCGTCCATGCATGGAATACTGTTGCCATATATGGTCTGGTACCCCCATCTCCCGCTGTTCATATCGAGGTTCTCGACAAAATCTAAAGACGGATACGCAATGTGATTGGCCCTGACTTAAGGTCTCGACTCCAGTCACTTTCTCACTGACGTAATGTGGCTTCCCTCTGTCTTTTCTATAAATGTTTTCATGGCATCTGCTCTAACGAGCGCTTTTCACTTATGACCCAACTGCACGCATTTAAGCCGGCTACTAGGTTGACATCTTGGTCCCACTCTTTTACTGTCGAAACAGTTAAATGTAACTGCCTTTTCTATTCCAATAGATTCTTCTCTTGCACTTCCCGACAGTGGAACTCCCTTCCTCTTACTTACTTCCCTGATAACTATAATCTTTAAACATTTAAATGTAATTTCAATGGACATCTTCTGTTGCCTTAATCTCCGTTCTTCTTTTTATCCTTTCCTTGCCCCCACACCCACCCACTATATCCGGCCTTTTCCCTTACTTACATTCTCTGTAGCCCCTTGCGTACTAGTAGCATTCCCGCTTTGCTTGGGGTGAAAAGCTTAAAAAAGATATAAAGTGTATTAATATTATATTATAGGAACAAGGTGTATATTGTTTTGAGCTTTGTCAATTTTACCCATACCTGGAAAGAGCTAAAATGAATTTATATATTACTTAAGGGCATTTTGTGCGAAAGTGAATGCAATGTTTTCAGCCGGAATTCGAACTCACATTGTCGGTATCTCTTTACGAGTTGCTAACCGTTATGCTACTCACATATAGAAGAGCGTACCCAGAAGAAAAAAAAAACAGATACATGGATGAAACCTTAAAATCGGCACCCCCCCCCAACTGAGAAGTCGCTGAGGGGTACTTATGTCGGCCATCGGGAAGTGTAGTTATCGCTTTTATATGGTATTATAAGATTTCAAGCCATCAACTGATCTTGACGACAAACCTACGACCAATAAACTGCACCGACAGTTACTACGAGGGGGAAGTTAAAAATCATCCGCACAAAATATCTTTAGGTTTGTGACACTGCCTTCTGTGCATGCGCGCTTATAAATGGTACAATGCTTGTCAAGTGATCGAAGTTTGAGCTTGATCGCGCCAGTTTTCCTCTTGTTATTACAGTGTAAACATGGTCGCTCTCTTAGCAGTGTGCACCCAAGAGGAACAAATAGCATTGATCTTTACGTTTGTCACAATGCCTTCAGCCCACGCGGGCTTATAATTGCTACTATTCTGATCAAGTGATCAAAGTTTGAGCTTGATCGCGCCAGTTTTCCTGTTACTGTTACAGTGTAAACATGGCCGCTCTGTTAGCAGTGTGTACCAAGGAGGAACTAATAGCAGTGATCTTTATGTTTTGCAAACTGCCTTCAGCTCATACGCCACGTCATTTGAGGACTTTCAGCAGCAGCAACAACTATAATGGATAAAACCTATAATTCGAAGAGAACATAATTTTCTAAGTCATTGATTGCCCGAGAAATTTCAATTGCCTAATTCTGATTCTAAGCAAAAGTGTCCTTTTTTTGTTTCCATTCCCTCTAAGACTACATCATCCACGTGTTCATTCTGCTGGAATTTTCTGGTAATTTTAACGAAATAACAAGACTTTATACGGGCAACCTTGGTTGTTGTAATTGATACTTGTTCTATAACAGCTTTATTTTTTATGTAAATTTCTTCTCAGACTGAAACTTTTCATGGGAACCGATAGTGTCAAGGAATTTACACTAATTCCGATGAAAAGATAACCAAACAATAATCTCATGAAAAATGTATAATGCATACATACAAATAGAGGAAGAGGTCAAAATCAAAAAGGAAAATTGTTAACAGACAGTGGCAGATAGATAGATAGATAGATAGATAGATGAATAGATAGTGAACAGTATTAGATAGATAGATAGATAGATAGATAGATGAATAGATAGATAGATAGATAGATAGATAGATAGATAGATAGATAGTGAGCAGTATTAGATAGATAGATGATAGAGATAGATAGATAGATAGATGAATAGATAGATAGATAGATAGATAAGAACATATGTGAGAGAGAGAGAAAAGAACTGAGAAAGAAAGAACAGAACAGATAGATAGATAGATAGATAAACTGAAAGATAGAAAAATAAATAGGCATGAACATATGTGAGAGAGAGAGGAGAGAACTGAGAAAGAAAGATATGAACAGACAGATAGATAGCTAGATAGCTAGATAGATAGATAGATAGATAGATAGATAGATAGATAGTGAACAGTATTAGATAGATAGATAGATAGATAGATGAATGATAGATAGATAGTGAACAGTATTAGATAGATAGATAGATAGATAGATAGATAGATAGATAGATAGATAGATAGATAGTGAGCAGTATTAGATAGATAGATAGATAGATAGATAGATAGATAGATAGATAGATAAGAACATATGTGAGAGAGAGGAAAGAACTGAGAAAGAAAGATATGAACAGATAGATAGATAGATAGATAGATAAACTGAAAGATGGAAAAATAAATAGGCATGAACATATGTGAGAGAGAGAGGAGAGAACTGAGAAAGAAAGATATGAACAGACAGATAGATAGATAGATAGATAGATAGATAGATAGATAGATAGATAGATACTAAACAGTGTTAGATAGATAGATAGATAGATAGATAGATAGATAGATAGATAGATAGATCAGTATTAGATAGATATTGAATATTCTTAGACTACTTAGTGAGATAGGTGGATAAATAGATATGAACAAACATAGATATAGACAAATCCATTTCGACTTTTCAAAGATAATCGTTGTTGTCTTTCACGCATTCAGTTCTCATAAAATTCTCCAAGGGCTAAAAATACATAAATTAAATAACAAAAAGAAAAACCGTAAACCATTTCGCAGCAGAGAACTGTTGCCGATGGTGTCTTCATAACGATTCCCCGGTGAAACATTTGCAGGTCATTTCCATCATCTGATCTTGTCTCCATGAATTACTATTTGCCGCTAACCGAATGCAATTCTTGGCTTTTCTGTTCAAAATTACGTCGGCATTCTTTACCGACTTATGATTTTCACGCAGGAATCTGAACATAGGTCATCGTCAAAGATAACCTCTATTATATTTCATACATTGCGTGCTATGCTTACGTTTGCTCATATATGAGCGCTCAAAATTACACACACACAGATACACACACACATACATATATATATATGCGTGTGTGTGTGTGTGAATCGAAATATCGTTACTTACCACTTCAAAACGAGAGTGCCGCCATGTTTCCCGCGAGAAGCGAAACGGTTACTGCGTTCGCTTCCTTCTTTAGAGAAGCTCACAGAACCTGGTGAACTGGAAAATGTTCGTGATTGGACTATAAAATGCCGGACGAATACGTGTCGCAGTGCTTTGCGCGCATGACGAGAACAGCTACAACGGACGGACGGCACACAATCGATATTCGATCAGTATCGACTGTGTCACCGTGGAGAGGTGGTATCATGTTGAAAGACCCGAAACCTGTAATGATCTTCGGCTAAAAACATCACTGACAGTGTGTTGTCAAAGCACCAAACCGATATATTTCACGAATATATATATATATATATATATATATATATATATATGTGCGCGTGTGTGAGCGTGTGTGTGTGTACGTATGTATTCGTATATTTAGGCAGCAATCCTTCTTTCATGCATATTTCATTGAAAATGACAGACAAGGTGCTTTTATTTTTTTTATACAATTTCTCATGTGATCTAATTTTTTTTTCTTTTCGGATGAAATATTATATAAAAACTGTCCGAATGTTCTTTTTATCCGAGCGCTTTCGGCTATACATTTAGCCATTTTCAAGGATTATATTTTAACTGTTTAAATAAGAAATAGTTTGTTGTATGTATGTTTTATAAAATGTTCTTAGTTTTAAAAACACGGTCAAAATATTATGTCCATGTTATTATTATTAAGCGTTGTTATATTTTTGTTTTTATTACTAAAGCTTCCATTATTTTTAGCCTTTTTTTTTTGCATGTAGATGATGCTATTATATTAGTGTTGTCAACAAGTATGTTACGAATAATGTCCGGTAGGTCTCCATGAATATTTAAATGAGATCTAATTGAGCTATGGTCATAAAGGTGTAGAGTGAGTCTGCGTGTCAAACATGTTGTAGTGTGGCAGATACAAATGTACGTGAGAGAATCATGGAAGATTGTAGTTTAAAAACAGTAAAATCGACCTTGCTAACCGAACTATCCTCTGTGGCTCGATCGGTTAAGAGCACGTCAGGCTATATGACGGTTCCGTATAGGATACAGGTTGGATTCCTCCGACAGGAATCGAACCTATGAAAATTTCTCGGACATTCAGGCCGGTAAGTGTTATTTAATACTGTTTATTATAAACAGAGAATTTACTTAAATATTTGTAACTATAAAAAGAATTTATAAACATAAAAATGTATTAAAATAATTGCCAGACCTTGTCCATTTTTCATATATATATATGATACATATATATATATATATATATATATATATATATATATATATATATTAGGTCTCACACACTGAGTAATGTTGTTTATAAAATAGTGCTCGATAATATAACAGAGTTATTAAGTATATATTAAATATTATTCTTCCCTGGTATCACAACTCGAAATTTCATGCACAACGCAATCTTCAGGTGCTCATAAAATTCCCTACTCAGCACCGGAAGATTTTGTTGTGTATATATTATCAGGATCATCAAACAGAACGGGTAATCCTTTCTCAGCGTTTCTCCTGGTGTCCGATTCTGAAGGAACTTGCAGAAATTGTGTGTAATCTTCCATGTAATTCCGGCAATCGTTGGTTAACAAAACTACTGTACTCTAAAAAAAAAAAAAAAAACGATTCAGAAGTTTGTAATCTCTTTACAACAAGCGACGCAAGACATGATTAATAAAATCTTTTTAATCAAAACATTAAAATACCTTTGAACTGTACGGCCAAATTAGTCACGTTGACGCTATAACCTCTTCCACCACCATAACATAAGAGCTCATGATAATTTCAAAATGCAGACCATTAACAGAATAAATGCACCACGAGGTACCTGTCGACTTCTATCTTATTTCAGTGATTAACGATAGTTGAAAGCATCGGAACTTTACACACAATTTCGGCAAGTTCTTTTACAAGATTCCTCTTAATATTAGACGATTTATTCAACACCAAGAGATATTCACCAGAAGTCTTAATAGACATTTTTTTGCCTTTTCCGTTCTACACGGTGTCCTTAGAATCTGAACACATAGGCGAAAATGCATATTTTCAAGAAATGGAATTTTCTACTTTTTCATCGAATTGTAATATTAACAAATAACATCTTCAATATGATTTCCATGCAAAGGTTGATCCGCTTTGAATGATTCACATGAACATGATGCAATAACTCCACATTGCGTCAATATTTGAGCATTCATTTTTTTATGTGTTCAACCAAGTGTGTTGCACCTGTTATTTTCATTGAGTACACCTTCTCCATTAGGATACCCCAGAAAAAAGGGGTCAATTCTCTCTTCTTTCGACAAAACCATGTTTAATCTGTGGAGTTAAGAAAAAAATAGTTAATGAGATTTTCCCATGACTTTAAGGACCACACACATGTGTGCGTGTGTGTCTGTCTGCTTGTTTGTTTGTTTCTCTTTATATATTTATATATATATATATATATATGTGTGTGTGTGTGTGTGTGTGTGCGCTAAATTTGTAGACTTCCCTGTGGGGGTCTAGGGCCACAGGCTCCACCCCGAGATGTTATGGTTGTGGTTTCCATAGCAAATAGGCTTTTACAAGGTGGTTTAATTTTATAAAAAAGATTCGTTTTTTACGGCTTATCAACCTTTTGCAGGTTATTTAAAGCCAAAATATTTTTTTAATACCGTAAGTATTTTTTTAGATGATAATGATTTAGCAATACAAGTCTTACTAATTAACCCATAGCTGGGAGACTTTAAGAGGTGGATTCGTACCTTTCCCAGGTGTATCTGCGCGTGACTCTAACGAATGAAACTTGAATTGGAACTCGACTCTCGGATTAACAATTGCAAGCCATTATCCATTACACCACCCGCACATACAAGCTTACAGCACCTGCTATTCCCAAGCGGTCACCCATCTAGATACTGACCAGGCTCGACGTTGCTTAACTTCAGTGATCATACGAGACCGGTGTTTCAACAGGATATTGCCGTAAGCCGTTTTATTAGGCGGAAATATGTTTGTTTGCTCAGAGATTAATAGTCAATCCATAAACGTAGATGCCGCTAAAAGATTTTTTTTTTATTTTTTCAGTGTATAATCCTCAATTTATGGAATTAATTCTTACAAATGGATTAAGTGCCTTGACAAAGAAGATTACCGAAAAATAAATTTACTGCACGCAATATTATTTTTTTTACATTAGGCTGCGAATTTAATGTAACAACGTGCAAATATGTGTTTTATGCATTTTATGCAATATATATATATATATATATATATATATATATATATATATATATATATATATATATATATATATATATATATATGTATGTATGTATGTATGTATGTATGTATATATGTAAATGTGAACATCTATAATCTATTTTCACGACATCAGCCTGAAAGCGAAAAAAATAATACAGGCCATGTTCGTCTTTTTTACATTTATAATCGTTTTCTTTGTACTTATCCTTGCATTTATGGTCTTCCGTATTTTATTTTATTTTTATTTTTTATTTTTTTTTTTTTTTAGTGCAAGCACTTCGGATTGGAATGGAAATCATAATAGCAAGTTTTGATAGCATCTCGGAAGTAAATATGGTATGTCAAAAAAGATTTCTTTCTTTATCCTTTTGGTTCAATCATGTTTCCATTAATGTCTCAGGCGTTTCGCTTTTATTTGTTCATCTTTTATCTTAATAATAACCATTCCTTATAGCCGCCATGGCTTACATATAGAATGGTACACAGTCTCTTAGTCTTAAACTCTGTCTCTTCCTTTCTTCTTCTTCTCTTTTATTTCTTTAACCTCTCTTTCTCTCTCATCTTCTGTTCCTTTCTCTCTCTCTCGCTTTCTCTCTCTCTTATCTTCTCTTGCTCTCTATCTTATATTCTCTTCCCCTCTCTCTCTCTTATCTTCTCTTCCTCTCTCTCTCTCTTTTATATTCTCTTCCTCTCTATCTTATCTCTCTCTTCTCTTATCTTCCCTCTCTCTCTTATCTTCTCTTCTCTTCATTTTCTCTCTCTCTCTTATCTTTTATCCCTCTTCTTCTGTTCCTCTCTCTCTTCTCTCTCTCTTCCCCTCTCACTTATCTTCTCTTCCTCTCTCTCTCTTTATCTTGTCTTCCTCTCTCTCATTTTCTCTTCCTCTCTCTCACTTATCTTCTATCCCTCTCTCGCTTCTGTTCCTCTCTCTCTCTCTCATTCTCTCTCTCTCTCTCTTATGTCTTGTTGTCTGTGTGTGTCTATCCGCTTGTTTGTTTCTCTTTATATATTTATATATTTCACACACACAAACATATATATATATATATGTGTGTGTGTGTGTGTGTGTGTGTGTGTGTGTGTGTTAAACTTGTAGACTCCCCTCTGGTGTATAGGGCGAAAGTCTCTTCATCTTAAACTCTGTCTCATTCGTTTCTTCTTGTTCTCTTTTATTTCTTTAGCCTCTCTTTCTCTCTCATCTTCTGTTTCTTTCTCTCTCTCTCTCTCTCTCTCTCTTTCTTATCTTCTCATCATCTCTCTCTCTCTCTGTTATCTTCTCTTCCTCTCTATCTTATCTTCTCTTCCTTTCTCTCTTATCTTGTCTTTCTCTCTCTCTCTCTCTCTCTCTTATCTTCACTTCCCCTCTCTCTTATCTTCTTTCCTCACTCTCTCTTCTCTTCCCCTCTCTCATCTTCTCTTCCTCACTCTCATTTTCTCTTCCTCTCTCTCACTTATCTTCTATTCCTCTCTCTCTTATGTTCTGTTCCTCCCTCTCTCTCTCCCTCTCATCTTCTGCTCCTCTCGCTTTTCGCTCTCTTTCTTCTCTCTCTTATCTTCTCTTTCCCTCTCTCTTATCTTCTCTTCCTCACTCTCTCTTCTCTTCCCCTCTCTCTTATCTTTTCTTCCTCCCTCTCTTTATCTTCTCTTCCACTCTGATCTTCTCTTCCTCTCTCTCTCATCTTCTCTTCCTCATTCTCATTTTCTCTTCCTCTCTCACACTTATATTCTATTCATCTCTCTCTTATGTTCTGTTCCACCCTCTCTCTCTCTCTCTCTCTCTCTCTCTCTCTCTCATCTTCTGCTCCTCTCGCTTTTCGCTCTCTTCTCTTCTCTCTCTTCTCTTCTTTTCCACGCTCTCTCTCTCTTTTACTTTCTCTTCGTCTCTCTCATCTTCTGTTTCTCTCTCTCACTCACTTCTCTTCTCTTCCTGTCCCTCTCATGTTCTGTTCCACCCTTTTCCCCTCCCCCTTTCTCTCTCTTATCTTCTATTTCTCCCTCTCTCTATCATCTTCTGTTCCTCTCTTTTCTCTCTCTTATCTTCTGTTCCTCTCTCTCCTATCTTATGTCCTCTCTCTCTCATCTTGTCTTCCCCTCTATTTTTCTCTTATCATCTGTTCCTCTCTAACTGTCCTGTTCCACAATCTCTCTCATCTTCTCTTCCTCTCTCTTTTTCTCTTATCTTCTGTTCCTCTCTCTCATCTTCTGTTCCTCTCTCTCTCATCTTCTGTTCCTCTCTCTCTCATCTTCTGTTCCCGTCTCTCTCTCATCTTCTCTTCCTCTCTCTTTCTCTTTTATCTTCTGTTCCTCTCTCTCTCATCTTCTGTTCCTCTCTCTCTTATCTTCTGTTCCCGTCTCTCTCTCATCATCTCTTCCTCTCCTCTCTCTCTCTCTCATCTTCTCTTCCTCTCTCTCTCTCATCTTCTGTTCCCGTCTCTCTCTCTTCTTCTGTTCTTCTCTCTCATCTTCTATTCCTCTCTCTCTCTCTCATCGTCTGTTCCTCTCTATTTCTTATCTTCTGCCCCTCTCTCTCATCATCTGTTCTTCTCTCTCTCTCATCTACTGTTCCTCTCTCTCTCTCTCTCACACACACACACAAATATACATTTTGTTCCTCTCTCTCTCTCTCTCTCTCTCATAAAGTTATCATCCGTCTCTCTCTCTCTCTCTCTCTCTCTCTCTCTCTCTCTCTCTCTCTTGTCTTCTGTTTCTCTCTTTCTCTCACGCGTGGAATGGCCCATTTCCCTTTCATACAGTTTTTGACTAATAAAATGTTTTCAGAAAAAAACGGCAAATTAGTTTTTCTCCAGCTCTTTCTTTTTCTTCTCAACTTCATTTTCTCTCTCTCTCTCTCTCTCTCTCTCTCTCTCTCTCTCTCTCTCTCTCTCGATTATTTTTTTCTTTTTCTTTTGTCTTCCCGCTCTCTCACTTTTAGTCTTTTTCTTCTCTTTCTTCGTTTTCTTCTCTCGACGTCTAGTTTTTTTTTATTTTCTTCTCTTTCTTTATTCTATCTCTTTCATTTCAGACTCGATCTTTTTTGCTTTCTTTTTCTTTCGTTTTTAGTCTCTCTTCTCTGTTTCTCATTATTCGCTATTTTTATTCTCTTTCTTTTTCTCTCACACTCTTTTACATTTTTCCCATTCTCTTTCATTCATTGTAGTCACTCATTCTTTTTATTCCATTTTTCCTTTCTTTTTCATTCTCGTCTCTTTTCATTCAATTTCTTTTCTTTGCGCTCTTTCATTCGAATTTATTTAATTATCTTTCTATTTTTCTCTCTCCTTCATTTTAATCTATTTTTTCATCTTCTTTCTTTTGTCGTAATTCTTTCACTTTTGTATCTATCGTTTTCATCGTTTCTTTTTCATTCCTTTTATTCTTTTCGCCATTTTCTTTTCATTTTATTCTCTTTCTTTTTATCTCTCTCTCTTTTTTTTTAGTTTTACTTCTCTTTTCTCCTCTAATTTATTTTTTTATTCATTTCTAATTCCCTTATTCATTCTTTTTTTTATTTTTCCATTTTTAGCCACTTTTTCTTCCTGTTCACTTTCTTTACTATTTTCCACTTTCTTTTTTGCTTAATAATTTGCCATGAATATCTAAACACATGAAAATTGTGACATACATATCTTCATCTCTTTATAGATAGAACTAATTTATATTACATTCTTTCGCTTATTTTTCTTCTTTCACTTCTTCTTCTTCTTCTTCTTCATCTTCTTCTTAGTCATCGTCGTCGTCTTCTTTTTCTTCTCCGTCTTCTTCGTTTTCTTCTTCTTCTTCGTCTTCTTCGTCTTCTTCTTTTCCTTCGTCTTCTTCTCCGTCTTCTTCTTTTTCTTCTTCGTCTTCTTCTTCTTCTTCTTCTTCTTTGCCTTCGTCTTCTTCGTCTTCTTCGTTGCCTTCGTCTTCTACTCCGTCTTCGTTTACCTCTTTTTAGTCTTCTCCTTCTTCTTTGTCTTCGTCTTCTTCTCCGTCTTCGTCTACCTCTTCTTCGTCTTCTTTTTCTTCTTCGTCTTATTCTTCATCTTCTTTTTTGTCTTCGTCTTCTTCTCCGTCTTCCTCTACCTCCTCCTCCTCTTCTTCTTCTTCTTCTTCTTCTTCTTCTTTGCCTTCGTTTTCTTCTTTGCCTTCGTCTTCTTCTCCGTCTTCTTCTTCTTCTTTGTCTTCGTCTTCTTCTCCGTCTTCGTCTACCTCTTCTTCGTCTTCATTTTTTTCTTCTTTTTCTTCTTTGTCTTCGTCTTCTTCTCCGTCTTCGTCTACCTCCTCCTCCTCCCTCCTCCTCCTCCTTCTTCTTCTTCTTCTTCTTCTTCTTCTTCTTCTTCTTCTATCTCTTTTTTCCTCTTTTGATCTTTCCTTTTTTTCTATCCCAACCCTTTATCTCTGCTTTTCTCCTTTTTTCTCTATCGTATCCTCTTGTCTTTCTTTCTCTCACTTTTCTTCTACTCTCTATTTCTCTCCCTCTCTTTCCTTTCTGTAGTCTATCGCGCTCTCTCATTCTCTCGCTTCTTTTTCTGCCTCTTTTCCCTTCTTTTATTATTCATTCACTCCAAGGAAGTCGATAAAGCCACTAAGGCGTAAGGTGTTACTGAGTGAAAGAATCCAAGACAAAAACATTATCTCTCGCTCTCTTTCCTTCCCTGTTTGTTTGTTTTTTCCTTTCCGTTCACTCTCGGCCTCTCTCTCTCTCTCTCTCTCTCTCTCTCTCTCTTATCGATGATCAAGGTGCAGTACCTGTTCGATCCTCGGATTTTCTGCACTGGAATCAGTTACGCTTTCTGATCGAGAAAGCTATAAAATTGTTAAGAAGGAAGGAAGGGGAAAAAGAGACGGTGAGGTTGGATAAAGAAAAATTTAAAGAAAAATTTAAAGAATTTGAGAGTAAAATATATAAAATACATTGAAAATTAACTTCAATAAGATAAAAGCTACTTGGGGCAATGGCAGAATGTTCATGTAATGATGAGTTCACATCAAGTGCTCAAAATGGTTGCCGTTCTGTTCAATATACTTTTCATATCTTGAAGAAATAGACCTACAAACGTCCAGTAGGATTTCCTCTGGTATTTGAGCACATTCTTCTTCAACTGCTACTCTCATTTCAGCAATTGTTTCAGATTTCCTGCTGTAAACTTTGTCTTTTAGAAACCCCTACAAAAAGAAATCCAAGGGTGTCAAATCTGGTGATCTAGGTGGGTATAAAACTGTCCCTCTTCTTCCAATCCATCTGTTTTGCATATTTCCATCCATATAAATTCTCACATCACGATAATGTATTATTAACTATTAATATTTTAATATATATATATATATATATATATATATATATATATAGTGTCTCAAAAGACACCATATATATATATATATATATATATATATATATATATATATATATATATATATATATAAAAAAGGCTTAAACACTAATATTCCATGCTCATAATTTATTCCATTGGAATCGTAAATACGAACCAATTCATCAGACCTACAAATTCAAAAAGAAAACAGAAAAAACAACTCCAGAAATAAAAATAGAATTTAGAGAGAGTGTAAGTATGAGAGTGTGGGACGAATGTTAGATCTAAAGAGAGGGGTAACAGACTAGAGAAGGTGGGAGATTAAACCTTAACAGAGAGAAGTTTTAGAGAGGTCAGTGGAAGAGGTTTAATTGGATCGTATTTACGATTCCAATGGAATAAATTATGACCATGGAATATTAGTGTTTAAGCCTTTTTATTATATCCTTACTCTGTCCTGGACATTGAGTTCTACCTGGATTCTATCCTCTTGGAAATTTTTATTAAAAAAATATACATGTACGTGTATGCACCTATGTATATATATTTATAGATTTTGCATATGTATGTGTATATTTACCACTAATATTATATATATATATATATATATATATATATATATATATATATATATATATATATATCGGGCGGTATTTAGGCTAGCTCCTGCGGTGGGCCCTTGATTGGGCCTTTCTCACAATAGGTAGGGAGGAGAAGATGCGATAGACAACAATAAGCTACATTGATGGCTGCATTTAATTATTCTATTAATATTTAATCTTAACTTTTAAAAGTTCAACGATAATTCTTCTTCTCCCATTTAATTTAATGACAGTTTCATGTACGTAGGTCCTTACTTTCTGTACAAAAGATTATTTTTATTTCATGGGAGGCTCTCTCTTGATTTTACAATTAATTTCAATTATTCCCAAATTTGTTTCCAAAATTGTTATCGTAAAAAAAATTATCGCCAACAATCATGTTAAAAAACCGCCAAAAGCAATCACAGTATAGGAATTTGAGAATCCAGAATTTCAGGATTGTGGGTCCGGATCCAGGCCGGGATGTTTTTAATTTTCTCACGGGGTCGGCCTGATTCTAAAATGGTATCATATGTTGGACCACGACCACTAAAAATAAATTATTTATTCGAAAATTATAACATAAATATGTTATAAAATCACTACAAAAAGAGACATTTGGTTTCAACACTTCTGGTGTCTTATCAAGTGATGGCTATTTTTGTAGTGATTTTATAACATATTTATGTTATAGTTTTCGAATAAATAATTATATTTGCTCTACTCTGTATTGAGCACTCTTTTAAGAATAGTACTTGTTGGTTATTGGAATTTATTCCGTATACTCCAATACTATACTTGAATGTATATATATATATATGAAATAACACGTTAGGTAAATAATCCGGGGTTCTTTAGTATTTTTGTTTTTAAAAAACAGTACTCCATTTAGAAGGAGAGCTTTAAAAAACAGTGTTCCATTCAGAAGTGGAGCTTAAGAATATGGAAAAATTAAATTTCGGCATTTCTCTGAAGAACATTCCACACACAAACAAACGGAATTATTTCGTTAAACTTTTGCAAAAAAAAAACAAACAGACGAATTAATAAGAAGAATGAGATGGAAGTCATTCTTCTTCCTACGAGGGAATAACTTAACAAAAAAAAGAACATAAGCTTTACGGCTTTAAACGTAAAATAGTTGCACCATTTAACAAAAAACTACATGAATTTGAAAAGGACCTACTCAATATAACCAATAACATCTCCTTTCAAAAAAGAAAAGCAACTTCCAAAAACATCTAGACTAAATAGTTAAAAGCATCAACGACGGTGATAAAATATTAGTTAATTCCGACAAAACGGGAAATTGACGGCAGACGACTACAACAAATTAATTTAAAATATTTAACTAAGACTTATAAAGAACCCCATAATAATAATATTAATATGGTAGACAGTATCAACAGAACTAGTAATATTATTACTGAAAAATTAAAAATAAGCGATAGAGTAGGCAAACAAGCTGAAAAGGAATGCTACATCACTCTTAAGGACCAGAAACAAGATTTTGAGGAAGACCCCACTACCAGAATGATAAACCTAACCAGACCCGACATAGGAAAGATAAGCAAAAGATAAGCAAAAGAATCCTAGAAAGGATCACTAGGCAAATCAAAAACGGCCTTGGATTAACACTGGATTAATACCAAAGAAGTTATCAATTGGTTTACCAACATCGACAATAAGCCTGATTACACCCTAATACAGTTCGCTATTGTGAATTATTACCACTCAATATCAAGGGATCTCTTTACGACTGACTTGGAGTTTGCTACTCTATATTCTGACTTAACTAAGGAAGATATGAACATAATTCTTAGTGCAAAAAAATCTGTCCTCATCCATAATGGGGACCAATAGATAAAAAACACTAATGACACTTTTGACATCACCATGGGATCTTTAGACTCTTCAAATTCTTCTGACCTTGTCGGTCTATTTATACTATACAATCTAACCGCGCACCGTGAATTACACATTAAGGACGTCGGGCTATACAGGGATGACGGGCTCATGGCAGTGAGGCGCTCGACAAATGTTAAAATAGATAAAATTAGAAAGATAATATATAGTGAATTCAGAAAACAAAATTTAAAAACTACAGTCAATACTAAATTAAAAAGGGTAAACTTCCTTGACGTAACTCTAGACTTAATGAACAACATATACCTATCTGACAAAAAACCTAACACTAATCCCCTGTGTGGACACCCTAAGTCAAACCACCCTCCATCCATAATTAAGCATATACACACATCAATAGAGAAAAGAATCAGCATGAACTCTGCTAATGAGGAAATATTACAACACAGTAATTTTATAACAGCCCTAAAAATAGCGGATACAAAAACGTTAACATAAATTATAGAAACAATAGTACTAACCAGAATCAAAACAGAAAAAGCAAAATCATTTGGTATACCCCTCCGTTCAATCAAATGGTTAGTATTAAGCTAGGACATAAGTTCCTAACTTTAATTGAAAAACACTTTCCTACGAATAGCAGACTGAGCAAGATCTTTAATAAAAACACCTTAAAATTAAGTTACAGTTGCACTGAAAATCTAGAAAGAATCATAAAAAACATAATAATAAAATCCTGGAAAAACATACATGCCAAAACAGTATAAATAAAAATCCTAAACTACAATTAGACAAAAATATTGAAAAATTATGTTTTTGTAGAAACCCGGAAGACTGCCCGTTGAAAATAAATGTCTCATAAAATCTCTGGTATACCAATGCACTATCTCATCGATTGAGAGTCCTAACACTGAAAGGATATACATTGAGTCAACGAAGAATGAATTTAAAATTAGATGGAGACAACACAAAAGCTCCTTCAATAATATTAGAAATAGAAATGAGACATCTCTATCCAAATATTTTTGACATTTAAAAGAAATGAATAAAACACCAAAAGTAAAATGGAAAATAATAAATAGAACAAGAACTTGTAAAACCTGGGATGACCCATGCCCTTTATGCCTACATCAAAAACTACACATTATTAAGTTTCTAAATAATGAAAATTTATTAAACCATTGCCGATATTAATAAATTTCCGCATTAAATAATCATCATAAAAAAATAAATTTCATAGTCCAATAAAAGTTTTAAAAGCTTAACCAATCATGATAGAAAAACCCTTTATGAAGTCGTCAAAAAACATACTTTAGTTCAGTGCGACGCGTTTATGTACGAAACAAACATTTAGGAAAAATAAATAAATGAATTAATTAAAATTCTTTAGACACTTAACAATGGGGCCAATAGCTATCTTTCGCTGTGACTGACCAGACGATGTGCGTACATGAATGCCATAATTCGCTTTGAAATAGACACCCCGGCCCTACCTCCGCTTGAGCTTTTTCCGAAGGTGACTGATATGTGGATACAAATTAAGTTTTAGGCCCCTTATCAAAAAGATCACCCCAGCCGTTTCCATAGTAATTAATTTTGCGAATGA